CAATCTCGAATCCTCCCATAACAAGCTCCGCACAGACGCCGAGAACGAAATTGCCATCCTCAAGAGTCGATACCCGCAACACGCCCATCCGCAGCAGACCCAGCCCTCGACCGTCGGCCCACCCGCAAACTCCATCGCCCAGGACGATCGCGCCGCGAAGGATCAGCCCGCCCCAGACACTTCCGCCTCCAACCCAGGCCCCAATAATCCTTCCAACTCGGCCTCCCGACCGCCGAACGGACTCCCCACGTCCGCCCCCGCCTCCGCATCCCCCTCCACTATGCCTGGACCCGCCCCGCCCATGGCCTCTGCTCCGCTCCCCTCCACTGCGTCAAACCCCGCCTCCCTTCCGCCCTCGGGAGTTCACCGCAACCCGAGCCAGGGCCCCATCCCCCCGATGCAGACCATTCCACCTTCCGACGGTCCCTCACGACCCTTGCCATCCCGTCTGTCGGGGCCGCTCACATCCATTCCCGCCCGCACTCATCCTGACCCTTCCAACCCTCAGCCAGGTCACCCCGCAGGCCCTTACTCTTCTAACCTCTCGTCAAGTTTTTCCGTGTCTCGCACGGTCTATCAATCTCAGCACCCAAGCCTGCCTGGCCAACTGCATGGCCTGCCTCAGCATCATTCGCAGCAGTACCACCCTCAGTCTCATCCCGACCAGCAGGGACTGCCTCACCATCAAAAGTTTCCTCGCATCGTCACTCACCAACACCCGCATCACATGCAGCTCGGTCCGCATGCGTCAGGACCCCTGCCTCCCCCCGGCACTCTTGCCGGCAATGCGTCTAGCATCCCGTCCATGATGTCCAACGGCACGCCCAGCGAGCCGCGAGCCGCTATTGCCGGGCCTCATGATGCCCAGTCCATGGGGATTATGACCAACGGGCCGTCCCAACGCCAGGATGAACGTATGATGGCGAACAAAGGCGCCCGGGGTCGTGTACCGCCACCGAGAGGTGCTCCCCATACCAGCATGCTTACGGCTCCCTCAGGGCAACCAGGAAGTATCACCCCATCCGGCCGATCCCGACATCCTGTCATGACAACCATGGATGAACAACCAAGGGGTATGCCCACCCTTGATGATTGGGAGGTCCGCAGTGGTCGTGCCGCCGATGGCTCGAAAGTCAATATGAACTTGTACTTGCAGAATTCACTGCACCACGACTCAGTCGTTTGTTGTGTTCGGTACAGTCGAGATGGCCGGTATTTAGCCACAGGCTCGAACAAGGTGGCGGATATTTACGACCCTTCTACTGGACAGCGAATTTCTAGATTTGTTGATGCCTCTCGAGGAGAAGATGAGGAGGCCGCCCCAGGAAATGACAGCTACGTGCGCGCCGTTTGCTTCTCACCAGATGGCGAATGGCTGATCACAGGCGCCGAAGACCGCGTTGTCAAGATCTGGGATATCAGACATCGCACGGTGAAGCATACCCTCGCCGGACACGGCACGGACATATATTCTGTGGATGCTAGTGCGGATGGCCGCTTCATAATTTCTGGCTCGGGTGACAAGAAGGCCAAGCTCTGGAATCTGGAAACTGGAATGCTACTGAGGACGTTGGGTGATGAATATAATCAAGGCCCGACAGATGGAATCACATCGGTGTCGGTTAGTCCGACAAATCAACTCGTTGCTGCTGGCTCTCTGGATAAGGTCGTTCGCGTATGGGACGTCGCGTCTGGCCATCTCCTTAGAACATTCGAAGGCCATAGGGACTCGGTGTACTCGGTTGCTTTCTCTCCAGACGGCAGATTGCTACTGTCGGGTTCGCTGGACAAGACTTTGAAACTCTGGGATCTGAGTGCACCATGCCCAGCCTCTTGTCGTCTGACTTTCACGGGGCACGAAGATTTTGTTCTTTCCGTGGCATTCAGTCCAAGCGGTAAATGGCTGATATCTGGTTCGAAGGATCGAACAGTGCAATTCTGGGATCCCAGGCAGTCATCGATGTGCCAGATGCTCAAAGGACATAAGAATTCCGTCATTAGCATCGCTCATAACCCGATGGGCAGCTACTTGGCGACAGGGTCCGGAGATTGCCGAGCTAGAACATGGTCCTACGAGTACTGACGTATCAAAACGATGATAAGAAATATGGAAATCACCAATCTACTACAGTATTCTGTAAACCGCGAAGCGTTGCCATCCGAAACGATCTTCAGCTTTATTACCCTCCTACGCACCCCATTTGTATCATGAAATAATAAATCGCGTTTGAAGAAGTTTGACGAAGGAATCTTTGCAGCAACTCTGTTCTGAGTGGTGCTTATTCTTCGCATGTGAGTTCTACGCACGTGTGGCACTCCAGACCTTCGCCTCAATCAGAAACACGTTTCAATTTCAAAGACAGTAGGCACTCTGGTTGCCAGTGTTTGCACGAAGGGACTCGTCATCTTTCAAGAGGCACGATCACGTCGGTTGCTTTAATCCTACTGTACATCTCTCATATTTTATCTGCAGTCGTCGAAGATTTGCCATGTTTAGTTCTTACGTGCTGAGTCGTGACTATGATGCCAAAGAAAACCTGCCCATCAGTTTTACACTTCGCGAAAGCAAGATCGTTTCTCTAGAGCAAACACAAACCTGAAACTGAAAATGAAGTGCGTTATTAGAGAGTGCAAAAGTCCCTGGCATTCCTAACTCTTACTTTACATGGCTTGGCTCAATTCCTTCATTCATTCCAAGGCCCTGTTCTCCGAAGACTGCAACAGAAAAAATGACGTTGCATATCAGCGGTAGCCTTGGTGGGACAATGCGCGAAATTTGAAGTAGAAAGAGGGGATTGCAACGAACCGCAAGAGGAATAATGACATATTTGTTTTGGTTCGAGCTTTTCTCCACGCAAAGGAGGTATCGTCTTTCTGGTTTGAGGCGCCCGCCTCCACAGAAAGTTGTATCAATGTAGAATGCTGGGCAAAAGAAGTCTTCGCCAATTCGATTCTATATCTTTTCACAAATCGTCGGGCAATCTTTGAATGGATTGAGGTGCAAAGTACATTATTGCGGTGTTAATATCGTCGCGCATTTCTCGTCTGGTACGGCCGCCGTTTCGGACCACCTGATTGATACGCGTGTTATTCGGTGGACGGACTTGTCTCGATCCTTTCATGCGAACCAGGAGCAATGCGAAAGAGATAGGCAAGTGTTTATCAGAAATATAGAGAAACAGAAAGTCTTATTTGTGAGATAGGAAAAGCGCTCGACTGAAAATAAAACCCAGGGAGATGTCGCCCTCCCTCCCTGCTACACATGCCTCAACAGTCTGACTTCCTTGTCGCTTACTTTCTCGAAGCAATCAGTTCCAGACTATGCTCCTTCTGGCACAATGAAAGGAGTGAGTCGAATGGCCGTAACAGCGAAGATGTTAAAATCTCCCACCGGAAGCGATTAACTTTTCCGATTGCAGAATTTTTGCGATGCAACTGCGCATCTTGTTGTGTTTCCGCGTGCGACAACTGCGTACTCTAGCTAGCTGAAGAGAGCTTCTTGAATTGACAACTGACTCGACCTAGCAGCTTAAAGGGATCCACTCACCAAACAGCAAGCGCGAGCAAGTTTGTACCACTGAAGTAAAGCTTTGCGATGCTTCTTGCTGGGCGTATTTGAAAGAGATTTGTTCTTTCGTGTTTCCTTTCCTCGTCTGACTTTAGACTTTCTTTCTTCAAAGTCTTTCAAAATTCTGCAGATGCCATTCCTCTTTCTTCACAATTGTAGGTTACAAGCCGACGTGCTTCGAAAGCCTTTAGCTACCCGACGTAGGATCAGTGCTTTTGTCAGTAGCGTACTTCAAATATGAAAGATGAAATACACAGTTTGGTCTATGCGTGAAATAGAGGGGCATTGCAAAGACAATGGTTTTCTCGACAGTTAGAGTTGCACATGTTGCTTTATTGCATCAATACCAACACCATATGCGGGATCTCACATGAGTTTATTTACTGCACAGGAATAGGTCAATTATACGGAAGAGTCGCACTGCACAACATCCCCTCTCTGAGAAGAGTTTTACTGATCCACTGAATGCCAGAAGGCTGGCAACCGGCATCCCGCGGAAAATACGGGACTTTCTTCGCGCTTTAGACTTTTCCCGTGGGTAACTTTGACTGATTGCCTTTCACTGATATGGAAACTTGAAAGCTGTTTCGGCGATATTGCGTCTTTTCGTCCTTGTGAACGTCTGGATTGGTACGGCAAGGGTTTTCCCTCGAGGAAGATTTCAAATTTCCAATGTTCCGTTTCGGGGGCTGGAATATGCACGACCATGAAGTTGCATGGACGACAATGAAGTCGCCCATGAAGGACTCTGGCTTCTTCTGGTAGATGGCGCCCCTCGCCTACTTTTTAAGGGTAATAATTTGAAAAGTACACGCGTGCTTCAGTTGATCTTGCCTAGCGACGGGGTATCACCAGTGCGCAGCAAATGCGAGATCGATCTTCCTGAAAATGTAGTAGCTCATTTTGCGATGAGATACAAGACAGAGAGGTTTTAATAGGAGAGCGGGGCGACAGTAGTTAACTTTGAAAAGTCGGACTTCAGAAAAAGTGGAATGGTTTGATTTGAAGGCTAGCTGCCTCGCATGGCAAGAACGGAATAGATGAGCCCCGCGTTTGGGTTAGGCGTTCGGGGACAAACATGAGGAAGTGATCCATCAGTGTTAGAAGAATCGCAGCGCGTGGGCGAGCTTGTGGAACAAGGCGAACAAGATTTAGAATAAAAAGTTGAAGAAAAGGAAGAACAAGTTACCAGCGGCGTGAGTGAAAACGTTCGTTTTACCATAGATAGTTCTGAGACATTTGCGCTCTCCTCATGCGCTCACTGGTGAACCCAGGCTTGAAAAGGAAGCACGAAATAAGAAGTGGGAGCAAATAAAGACTCAGACTGCGTAATCCGTAAGTCAGGCTTTCCTTTCGCCTCGTTACTTCCCAGCCCCAAGCCTATCGGACACACACAAACATATCGTTTCCTTCTTGCAATTGTCTTGCCAGTCATGCCCAATCCTACGAATACTCTCTCAAACTATTTTCTGTTCCGATCATTTTCCTTCTCAGTCTAAGAGCTCTACATTCCCTAATTTGCCTTCCCCATTCTATCGTTCCTTTTCGGGAAACAAGCAATAGAGAAAGTCGACATATATCGAGACTTTCCTAGACATACTGACTGCGAAACAATGTCTCAATACCATTTCCGAACGAGCGAGGCAGCTCATGAGTTACAGCTCACATTGATGATTCGACAACAGCTGTCTGTGCACGAATTCTCTTTCCAAGTCAGGAAGCTACGCAGCAATGCGTATGGGCTCCAGAAAAACAGACAAGGCTGCTTGTTCGAAGCTTTTAGGTACATCGTGAATAATTAGCCACTAACTACGGATCTTTAAAGGTTTATCTGCATACCGACTCATCACGGATGTTACTTTCTTCACTGGAGCCGTACTCTTGTGTTCGATTGCCAGGGAACAGAATCCCATCGGCTCCCTCGCGTGTGGATGATAGATATCGTCCTCCTCGTCAAGATAATGAACCTTCAACTGTACAACTTCCGCCAACGGCCATTGGTCGAACACTTCCTGTGGCACGCCAAGTTTCTCTTGTATTCTCTTCCGAATTGCGTTAACGGTTTCCCCTTCTTTGCGAACCTTGATTACGAATGGAACACCAAAGAAGGTCAAGGCCTTCCACTGCCGTGACGGTTTATCTTTCGGCAAATGCAAAACCGTCATAAGCTCGTATTCAGACCCTAGGGCATCTTCTGTTTCATCCTCGGGTACCGGTTCGGCACGCAACTCTGCAACACAGTCATGATTTCCTGTCATGAGCGGCGGGAGCGGGTCACTTGGATCAATAATCCGGAAGATCTTGCTCTGCTTGACTTCACACATCCTTATCCTCACTTCAGCTGGAATTTTGAGCTTACTGCGGACTTGATCCATGACGTCGATATATTTCGCAGACATAGGAACAAGTACAGAAAACGACTTACTTTGATCAGGGGGAATCACAATAGGTGAGTGCTGCCCATTTGGCTTTGTCGCAGTCTTCCTCAGCCGTCCGTGTCCCTCGCCGGCGATTGACAAGCTGACATCAGCCCTGATGATGTTGTCACTGATCACGCGAGCATTACTCGTATCCGCGACACTGCTATACGGAGTGGCTCGAGCCCCGCCGTCCTGCCGCCATACCACTCTGACTTCATCCTTCGAGTCAAACTCTGAAATGTGATACTCAGTCCTCTCGTACCATAAAATTTTATGTTCAGGTTGCGCGACGACGTTTTCCATGCTGTGCATTGGCAAGACTTTACGCAGCTCCTCATTTCGACGAAGCAGAAGAGGTTCTTGAGCTGCGGTTCCCCTTGTAAGATCGTGAGCGAAAAATCTCAAGTAGTCCGGATCTACGTCTTTCCCAAGCTCTCCCGCCAACACCTTTCTGGCAGTGTAGTAAGAATCCTTTCTTAACATCTCAAAGAACTTCGAGGTTGGATATTGCGCTGAACCGATAGAATTCTTATCCTTGAACTCTATTTTGACGCGATAAGCGAGATATTCAAAATAGTGGTTCACAGTAGGAAGTGGCCGCCCCCCGAGAGGACGGTCGGTCAAATCACCTCGACTGGGCTCCTGGTAGCCGTCCCATTCGACGTCATGCATTAAGACAGGCTCTGACTCTTTCCTCCTAATTTTTCCTTTTTGTTGAAATACCAAAATGTCACCACTTCCAGTATCGTACGGAATTCTGTGGTCCGCAAGCGATTTGTTCTCATTGAGATGCGCAATTTTTTCCGCGGACTCCTCTTCGAAGACTACAATTCCTGCTCCTTCGTCAAGGTCGCGAAGTGAAGCATCTCTTCTCCGAAATGACTCCAGTGCTTGTCTCAGTAACGGATGAACGTCACGGACTGGCATGCTTCTATCGACAACAAAATGACCGAGCCACTGCAGGCGCGGAGAGGGTGTGGGGCAGTAATACTTTGCGAAAAGGAGAACTTCTTTGCCATGCACAAGCGGAAAATTTGGCCATTGCACAGTGTTCGGTGGCCTATTCGAGCCAGTTTCCATTTCAGTGGTCCAGGGACTGTTATTCACGATCTCTGTCGTATTTAGCCTATCTGTATTCACTTCGCGAAGCCGCTTCATGTGCTCGGAGTAAGCTTGACCTGCCCCGAGGCAGAAAGGGGACGTAAAATCTTCCGCGTACATGCGCACCACCTGTTCCTGTCCATAAAACCCGTGCCTACCGGGATGCAGTCCGACATTGTATACACTTTGTGTCAGAGGATCTCTTGCATTTGCATCTGTGATGGGGTGTGAGTCATTCCCGTTCGCCACAAGGGAATCCGGCCGTGTTGTGTCGTTGTGGCGAATCGAGCATTTCCATAATCTCATTTGACCCGCATCGCGAACTATCTTCTCCTTCTGTAAGCGCTGCTTCAGCTCGCCAAGTTGGAGGGCTCTTTTCACATGCAGCTGATGCACTTTGTCCCACTGCACAAGATCTGACCCATGGTAGTCCACCATATCGTTATTGGTAGCTACCGCAACGTTCATATACAAATGCTGCTCTGCCATATCTCGTAGCCTTTGCTGCTCTTCCTCGACCTCCTTGGTTATCCTTTGAGCCAGTTCTTTGGGAACATCAGACTGAGCTGGTGCTTTTAGCAGGGATGGAATATCAGACTTTCGCAAATATTGTAACATATAGGCGTTGGAAAAACGGCGGTTCTGGTAATTACGGGTTCGAGGGTGCATGACACTCGGAGGATGTGTTTGAATGCCGTTCATACCAGTGGTCGAAATATCATCGTCGATACCTCGTCTTAATGAAGAGTCTCTCTCGCCGCCCACACCGAAGTTGTCCTGGATAGCTGCTTCATCGGTGACCTTGGTCACAATTTCGTCATCAAACATGTACCATTGGCTCGCTTTCTTAGGATCGGTGTCCATCATGTTCATGTTTGGACGAATGAAGACATGATAGTGGCCACCGTTGACATCCCCAATGTGCACCAAGACCGAATGAAGCACGTATATGTCATTACCATCCGAGCCTTCCACATACCGACCCAAGTCCAACTCTGATTCAAACTCATATCGATCATTGATTTTCACCATTGCGTTTCTGTGGAAATCATACTCGAATCGCTTCAAATGCAACTGAAGAACTGGCGGAAGGCTTAAAAATTTCACTCCCTTTCGGGCGTCTTGCAATTCCTCATGACCGTCAGCCCTGTACTTGTTGTCGCCGTCCATCATTTCAACTTCGATGTATTTATCAAAGGATTCGTAAATATTTCGGCAGCCTTTCACGTTAACCGAGAGGTCAGTGAAGAGTTCCTCTCGAGTAGACTTGTATTCGACATTGACGCATTCAATGTAGTTGAGCAGCTTGCCTTCGAACAAGGTCGCGAGAGTGTTAGGTTTGTTTGGAGCAATCTTTTTCATCTTCTCTGCAAGCTCGTCACACAGCATGAGTTTCAACTCTTGGACATCATGCTGTGTGAAGGCGTCGGTCGTATCCCACCCAAAAGACTCCGTGAGTTGCTTGGTCTTGACCACGGTCGGGCAAGTCTGTAGTTCGTAAAACACTTTCTGTAAAGCATACGATAATTCCGATCCGGAGTTGTCATTGCCGGAATGGGGAAGAGGCATGCTGTAAACAGCCTTACGAAATGCGCTCACCATGTACAAGGTCTGAAGTAATGAGTTCATGTAACAAGTCGCGCCCTGGTTCTTAAAACCAACAAACCCGGTGCTTTTTCGCGAATCTGTATTTTGCGTACTGTTAAACATGTTGCTCTCAGTGTTGTCCACCAAGCGGATGCGTACCATGATGACAACATTCATGTCATCGTCAGCGTATTGCGTGGGCTCAAGTACGTTAAAGGGCGCAAATTCGAGAAAGCCCCAATCGCTCGCATTCTCTTTAAAATTGTGTGACGTTTCCTTGGTTATGTCTGGTTTCTGGATCGCAGAGACGCCGGTTGGACTCCTCCCCATTGACTTGAGGGAAGAAACATTGCTCGAGTTGGATTCTACACCGTCCAAACCAGACAATGCCCGCTCGCGATCAGGGGGAGTGCGAACAGATTTCTTCGCAATGGGGGACGACGGATGTAAAAGAAGCAGAGAGAATTTGGCCGGTCGACTCCAAGTCACAGGAGTCATGGGGGTCATGGCGGCTTCCTTTCCGTTGGGACCCTTGGCGTTTTGATGGGCGTAATGAGGCTGTTCAGAACGATTGACCGGTCCTCCGCACTCGAGATAGACGGAGAGCTCATGGCTGTTAGGCTGATTTCCCCGTGGGAATATAAGCAGCCTCCATTTGTATCCATCAAACACATGCCATGGAGAGTGAACCTTTATCTCCTGAATAGTTTTGTACCTCCTGAGTACGTAGACAAAGTGTGTAGCGCTGGGCTTGGCCTCTGGAGGAATCGCAATGGGGTTGGGAGGAGCTGGGTGCGGACCGTGGACGACGGGGGGAACACGGCCTGTTGCCGCAGAGTCTGGAAAAGGAGACGGATGTAAATTGGGAGTTTCTGCGGTGGGGTTGGGGCGCAACGAAGGCTGGAGATGTACGGGAGGGAGTGATGTTGATTTGGGGATGCGATCGTCATTCTCCCCGTCGTTCAAAGTGGTGGGAGAAACGGCGTCGTTCAGATTGGCCGGGGAGACGTCCATGACGTCGACCTCAGGCGGAGAAGTGCCAGGTGGGTCTGGGACTTGTTCCATGATACACCAAAAGAAGAAGAGATTTGCGTGAAATAGAAAAGGTTAGTTGAAATGGCCGAGAGGGCCGGTGACCAGCAATGGACAGAAGCGGAAGGGGAGGGGGGAGGGAGAAAAATTGACTAGAGTGAAAGGAAGGTCTGCATGGAAGAAGGACTTGTGAGGGAAAGGAAGCAGATGGGGGCGGGGCAAGTGGGGGAGGGGGTGAAGAAGGGAATGGGGGATTGGGTACGGTGGGGGAGAGGGGTGAGTGGCGGTAGAGTGGCGTGGTGCTGCCAAGGGCTGAGAGGGAGAGAGATAGTGTGCATCGTGGATGAAGGCAGGAGGACGCCCGCGGAAAAAGCAATAATGTTCAAATGGACACAAAAAACGTCCCCCTCTCCTCGGGCTGGAAGCCAAAGTTCCTTCTCCAATTCCCTCTGTAAGTCAGTGTAAGCATCGCGATATTTAGACGACGGCCACGCATTGCTAGATTTTCACTTGTTTCTCACGGGGCCCTTGGGACTTGCACTTCCCTCCAATTCCGATGGGCCCCGGCATCTAATACCCAACACCAGTGACGGGTCACGGGGATCATGCACCGCGGTTCGATACAACGTACGGCAACGTACGGGAACTTGCCGCCCGACTGCTCGTCTGCTTCCTGTGCCCGTCTATGACTTGAAGTCATGCAGCGATTCCTCTGACGTTTTAATCTTTCATGTCGTGCATTCGCCCCAAGCAATCGCACAACGCGACACTCTCAGCGTCGCCATGTCAACAGACCAAACTCTGTCTTTTCCAAGACCTCAACACCCACCCCTTACATCTCTTTATTCAAACCGTATAGATACACTACTATCGTTTCCCCCTTTCCACCCCTTATTTGCCCTTCTTCTCCTTCAAAGTGTCTAGAATACCCTCGGTTTCGATAAAATTGGTGTAAATTTCTGACCCATCTTGAAACACCTCGTTTTCCAGCACCTCCAAATGGAACGGGATCGTCGTGGGCACGCCTTGTACCGCTGTCTCTCCAAGAGCTCTCTTGAGTTTGGAAATCGCCTCGGCCCTCGTCGGCGCCCACACGATAAGCTTGCCCAGCAACGAGTCATAGTTAGGCGGGATTCTCCACCCCGTGAAAACCTGCCCGTCCCACCGCACCCCGTTCCCGCCAGGCGCCAGAAAGCCCGTCACCTGCCCAGGCATGGGTCGGAAGTTATGCAACGGGTCCTCGGCGTTCACGCGTGCCTCGATTGCATGTCCGCGAAGCACAACGTCCTCTTGCTTCAGCGTCAGCTCGTGTCCTTCCGCCACTCGGATCTGCTGCTGAATCAGATCAACCCCGGTGATACACTCTGTTACCGGATGCTCAACCTGAATTCGCGTGTTCATTTCCATGAAATAGAACTCCCCAGACTTGTCCAGCAAAAACTCAACTGTACCAGCCCCGCGATATCCAATAGCCTTCGCCGCGTTGACAGCTGCCGCGCCCATCTGCTCACGTAGCGTCTCAGTCAGCGCCGGGGACGGTGCTTCCTCAATTAGCTTCTGATTTCTACGTTGCACCGAGCAATCCCTCTCTCCCAAGTGAATTACGTTTCCGTAATTATCTGCCAAGACTTGTATTTCGACGTGACGCGGAGCCTGAACATACTTTTCCATGTAAAGGCCACCGTTACCAAAAGCCGCTTCAGCTTCTGCGGCGCATGTCTTAAACGCCATCTCTACCTCTGCATCCTCCCACACAATCTTGATGCCGCGACCACCGCCTCCAGCAGTTGCCTTGAGCATGACGGGATAACCCATGTCAGCGGCTTGATTTTTAGCGTCCTCCTCGCTTTCAACTAAGCCACGTGATCCAGGAACGCAAGGTACACCTACATCGATCATTGTGGCCTTTGCCGTAGCCTTGTCTCCCATCTTGGCGATGGATTCAGCCAACGGTCCGACAAATGTGATGTCCATGCTGGCGCAGATATCCACAAACTCTGCATTCTCGCTGAGAAATCCGTACCCCGGGTGAATGGCATCGGCCTTGGTGACGGAGCAAGCAGCGAGGAGATTGGGGATGCTAAGATAGCTCTTCGCGGAAGGCGCATCGCCAATGCACACGGCCTCGTCTGCGAGTGAGACGTGAAGCGCATCGCGATCGGCGGTAGAGTAGACTGCGACAACGGGAATGCCGAGCTCCTGGCAGGAGCGAATGACGCGAATGGCGATCTCGCCGCGGTTGGCAACGAGCAGTTTGGTGATGGGCTTGATGGTGAGAGCGGAGGCTAGGTTCTCCTCAACGGCTGCGGCCTCGGCCGTGACCATGAGCGTGGATGGCGCGCGGCGCGCGACGGACAGGCCGGGGCGCATGCGCGAGGAGAGCGGCAGGACGGCATGGCGATTCGAGGCGGTGAAGGAGGTGGTATTGAACAACGGGGCGGTGAAGGCAGCGATGGGGGGCGGCGACATTGCGCAGACGGATCGGGCAGTGGGGGCGAGGGGGGGAGGGGGGGGGGGAGAGGAAGGTTGTGACTTTGTAGGTTAAGGATGTGGGGTTTGCAAGGAGGGGGTTGGTGTTGGGGAGATTGATTGTGTTTGGGATTGGATGCTGATGGATGAACCTGCGGGCGAGAGGGTGGGGAAAGAGGAGGCGGAGCCAAACGGCCCTGGTGAGCGGGATCGAGCACTAGGCGGTGGTCTTGAGCAGGGATGCCCAGTGAGGCTCAAAATGAGACAAAATGTGAGATCGCGATCTGCCCCATGACATGACGCCGAAACCTCGTGTCTCCAAAAAAGGCTTCAAACCGGTACAAATATTTTCATATTTTCACATTTTCACATCTTTTCATGTACACTTGGCCATTGGTAAACCTGTCAAATCGCTACACTTGTTGTAATCCCACTCGCCTGACAGTGTAGATTGGACTCTGTGACTTTGGTTATTTTTTTAGTTTTGTCTCCACAAACTCTCGGAAAGGTTTATTAATTCTGTACGAAATTTGATTTTGCGTAAACCCTCTAATTGTTCTGAAATCTCGGCGCACTTCTCAAGATCTCACGACAGAGCTCCACAAAAATCTCGGCAAATGTACTACAGTACAGGGTACTGTATCCGTGAAAAGCATACAGTACAAGTATAACACGTGTACACCAGTGTTTCACGTGCGCTCGTGTAGCACGCGCTGGCAAGTACAAGCGGATGTCCACTTGTCCTTGCCAGCGCGTGTTGTCCACTACATGCTGTGCACACAATTCGTCTTCTTCACCGCTCCAAGCGTTGGCCAATGGCGGGGCCGGTGGAGCCACACAGGGACAAATATTTCTTCTCCATCAGGAGAAAGAGCAGAATGGTTTGTCCCTGTTGTCCCAAATGTTTCCCGTACAGTATTTGGCTCCGAAGTAAAACACGGGAAACATGTGGCAAACCCACACGCATGTGAAGGAGAAGCCTTTTGCGCAGCGTCCACTATCTTTCCATTACAGCATAGTCTGCACCTCAAAGCATAATCCCTACATCGCACATGTGTTTGCTCCTTTCGCCCCTCTTTACACTTGTTGAGACCCGCTCTAATGCACGAATACTACACACACTCGACCTCGTTACACGTTATCCCTCCTGCGACGCCCTCATCCCCCCGTCACACGGTAAGGGATAATGCTTTTTTCCTGCCCTGTCACAGGGCTTAACCCTTTCACGCATGTGCTCGCATCATGTATTCGTGGTTCTAGAAGCCCCGCTGAGCGAAGCATCGAACCTCCCAAAGTTACATACACTTTACACCGCTGTCTCCTGTCTCGTGCTCCGCTTTCCCAGTGCAACTACCGTACACATCAACCAATAGTCATTCCCAGGCACCAGAAAACAAACTGTGCCCTTCTCGAAACTCCCCCGACTAAAAAACGTTTTACTCCTCATTGCTGGGAGCTGTTTTCCGTTCTTTGGACACCGCGGCACCATTTCCGTGCTGCACCATTTGTCACGCAGCCAGAATGCCACTCATTCTTTTCCTGTACAGTACTCATATTTTGCTCCCTCCCCTCAGCCCTGATTTCATCCTGATTTCGTCACGTGCATGATGAAACCCTTTATTTTTATGCCACTGAAGCATGGGTGCTCGGGGGGCATTACAGTCGTACAACAAAGATGAAGACGTCCTGTGGTGGGGGTTGTCTTGCAAAACGGCAGGACAAACTCATCGCAAAACATGGTGAAAAGACTACTTGGTGGATTGATGGCAGCACCAACAGTTGTACCGCGACTGAACACACAAGTTGAGGGGGAATCCCAAAAAAATCTGCACTTCGCTGCAGCCGAGGTTTCCATGCAGTGCAGCTCCGGTAAACAACTCGCAGGGTTTCCGATACAGTATGGCCAAGGCAGTAAAGGTTCTCTCGAGATGTGCAACCTAGGAAGGCATCTTGCAGCGGGCCACCTAAAGCGCCCCATTTAGGCGTAGCGGTTGCTACTGCACGTAGGCTGCAGTGGACATAAGAAGGACATCATAAGCGTCACCGCCGAGCACCAAGTGACCGAAACGACATTTGTTTGTGCCACGGAGGCTGCTCTGCAGCTGCTCTGCAGCCTCCGTGAACGCAGCAGCAAGAAAACCCTTGTTTTCATGCACATGCGGGTCACGGTTATCTGCGAAATCTGAATGACAAAACGGCGTTCTGCAAATCCCTTCGCCAAGCGGGCCAATGGGAGGGCGTGGCATATGACAAGGACTGAAAGATCTGAAAATATCTGTTCTCACACTATTTTGGCGGTATCTACACGGCGCCGAACCTCTCGTTTTGTGCGGCTACTGCCTGTCTCCTAACCCCACTCCCTCTTGCCAAACTTATCGCCCAATCCATGACCCACGCAGGACACGCCCCCATTCTCCGCTCAGATTCAAACCACGCCCGTCATTGGCCCCCCCCCCCCTCCCACGCCCCATCGCTTTGCTAAACTCTATCCGCCTTTAGACTGCCCCTTGCACCTCTCCACCACTATCCTCACTGTGTGAGGTTTCCTCCCCGTCACGCGCATATTGCATTTGTCTTTTATAGTGTGCTTTCGGTCCGTGTTTCCCTCCATGGCCCTCACTCCATGAAGTTTCCGCTTCTGCTGCCAAAACCCCCTCACAAAATCGTGCATTCGCCGAACTCATCGCTTCGAAAATGCAAACTCCCCCTCCAACCTACGTCCTCGCCCCGCCCATCACGCAGAGGTCTTCTGCCTTCACGCGGGGTTCGCCGCAATGCCGACGCCATGCATTCCGACACCAATTCAACACCACTGACATCAACCATCCCGCCGCGGCCTCCATACTTCCAGGTCCAAGCCTATCCCGCCTTCGGCCAACACGTCGTCTGCGCCCACCCCATCAAGGTCGTTTCACAACGTCCACTGCGGTAGTCCAGTCCCCGTTTCGCCCCGTCCCGCCAATTCAGACTTTCGGCCCTGATGCTCAACAACACATTCACGCTCTCGGTCCCATTCCTGTGCATGACAACCCCCCTGCCGACGTTCGAAGGACCCGGCCTCGTCGGAAGCAGAGGAGACCACCTCACCGATCTCGGCCTCCCGCGCTCGACAACCACATCAGAGAAACTGACATCATACAGAAATGTGCAGTGTATTCATACAATGTCCAAATGAAAACCATGGCCAACAAGAAGGATCTCGCAGGTTGTCTCAGTCTTCTCGACGACCTGCGCAGTGCAGGTTGTGCCCCAGACAAGTACACCTACAGCACGATCATGACGTGCTGCTCCCGTGTACATGCCCCAGACGTGGCTATGGAGCTCTACAACAAGATGATCATCGAAAAAGTTCAGGTTGATGACTATATTCGCACCAACCTTCTTACCTGTGCTGCCAATGCTTCCCCGCCGCGCCTGGACACATGCGCGCTCGTGTTCAAATCCACCCGCAAACCGTCACAGGTCATGTGCAACGTCATGATGGACGCGTATGCCCGTGCTGGCCTCATCGAGGAATGTTTGTCGACGTATAGACACATGTCATTGCAATCATTGCGGGCCGACAAATACACTGTCAGCGCCCTCATTAAGGCGTACGTCACGACAGGGAGGCTCGACGAGGCCGTCGATAAGATTCACGAGATGCACGCCGCTGGTCTTGAAGTCAATGCAGCAGCCTACGGACAGGTCATGGACGCGTTTGGGAGGGCAGGATCCCTCGACAAAGCAGTTCGAGTGTTCGACACGATGACTCTACACGGTGTGGAACCGACGCAGATCACCTACAATATACTTATTGGCGCTTGTGAGCAAGTCTCTATGACTGAGCACGCGTTTGAGATCTATGAGGAGATGAGGGCGATGACGTCATTCCCTGGTGATCGATACACCCTTCACTGTCTCATGAAGTGTTGTCTCCGCTCTATGGACGGCTGGCGTGCATTGGATATCTACCGCAGGTTGAAAAGATCACCGTTTCCTTGCAATCAAGTAAGCTATCGGCTGGCAGTGACGGCAGCTGGCCAGATAATGGATCTCGAAGCAGTCCTGGAAGTGGCTGATGACATCGCGAGGCACAAGTCGAAGATGAGACACGACACTGCAGCGTTCCTCACGGCAGCATTTATACGCTGCTCAGACCTTGAGGCTGCACTGAGGTACTTTGGCGATCACCTGAAGCATCTATCGTCAGAAGATGCGGTTGTGCGGTTCTTTGAAATGATGTGTACGGCCTTGAAAGCTTTCGAAAAGCGCAGCGTGGAGAGCGAAAAGGATTTCGAATACACTTCCTTAGTGGTGAAAGAAATGGAGAGGAGCTGGCGCCGTGGGCAGTAGCTCTAATGATAGAGTGAATCTCAAAATACGAACAACTTTTTGTTAGGATCTTGTGTTCTGTCATTTGCACTGATGGAACACTGTATGTATTGTTCCAGGTTTCTACAATTCTTGTGGAAATAATACGAGTAATGTATGACTAGGAGTTATGAATTAGAAGCCGTGCCAAGACGGGGTTTGTCCTAATGGCACAAGACGGAATCTGCCCACAAAGTTGGGCACTTGTAAAACATGTAACATTAGTAATACCAAGCGGATTGATATTGAAAGACACCATATCTTGAAAGTAAGCGCTCGTTCAGTGTCACAATTGGCACATGTTCCTTCCCTGCGAGCAGAAACATAGGCCCTACGTCTCTACTTGTCACGACGGTTGGGTGAGTGGTACCAATGCACTCTTGCACGCCTGCATAAGCGTTGCTGAAAACAACATCACTTCGCATCCCACCCACAGTTGGCATTTACACGTTTGCTCGTCCTGAGCAGAGTGGACTGTCAAGCGGACCAGTACAGGGTGTAGTCCCTGTGAGCCCGAATCAGGTGTGGGCAAGTGACCTGCAAGGGCAATTGAAAACTTCTCACTGTCGGCGGCACTTCTTCCACCGACCGAAGTCTTCACATGCGATAAGAAGCACTTTTCGAGAATAAGTTCACGGATGAGATTGGATAATCCCATCCAGTCACTGCCTTCGGGCTGGGATAGCCGGACTGTGCACTCATTTCCAAACATTCCCCGTAGCGACTGCTCAGTTGAAAGAAAAGCTCCGGGCGTTATAGCAATGTTTGGCCGAACAACGAAACCAACTGGTGGCTTCAACTCTCCGCTCGTAACATCTGCTGCATCCACTTTAACACCAAACTGCACCCCAGTCGTCTTCCCTCGAAACCTTACATTCGCCAATACTTCATCAGAGTGGTGGGGTGGCAACGAAGGCAATTCTTTCCGAGCTGCGAAATACGTTCCCGAATGAGACGAAAACGAAATGTTTTCCAGGGTTGTGTTTCCGTGGTTCGTGAGCCGTAGCACAACTGGTGTGACGTCGGAGCCGGCCGCCGAAGGAGTTCTAATGTAGCACGCATCGATTTCCAACCCGTTGGACCTCCAAGTTTCGACAAGCCGAGTCCAGGAACTCCGTTCCTGTCCGTCTGGCGAATTGTCCGGCAAACTGATCTTGTTTTCAGACTTTTCTTGAGATACAGACAGGCTGCCCAGCAATGCTTCAATGTCATATTCCGACGTGGATTTCGCGGGAGCAAATTGCTCTGCGGATCTCTCCGCAAGTCCAGTATCGATCAAATCGTTTACTACCTGCTGAGGATTCGGGTGCGCGAAGAGCTGAGCACCCAAAGACACAACAGCGCCTTCGTCATCCTCCTCCTCTGAAGATGAATCGTACTCTGAGGACCCGGATGTCCCCTCTGATTCGTAGAAACGCTCAGGATCTACATTCTTCATATTCAGCGACGGTCCGGCCAAGCGGGAAGACATATCGACACCAAGGCTCCCAATATTATATCCATGGCCTGTGGCACCAGTTAAGTTGACAGTCGATGACGAAATCCCCATCGGTGGCTCCCATACTGTGGAGCCATGATTTGCTGTCGTCCCCGCTCCACCGAAATCAGCGCTGCTGACTCCCGTGTATTCGCGATTATGTGCTGCCCCTGTTCCCCCTCCTTCAACTTCATCGCGAAGAGCGGCTTCAGAATCCTCTTTTGCCCAGCTCTCGAGCGCTTGAAAGCCTGCTAGACGCCTCCCAGTAAGCACTTGCGTGAGCGACCCGATCACCACATCAGACTCCAGGTTTGCAATATTCATGGACCACGACGTGACATCATCCGAAGCAGGAATTGGTTTGCGAGCACAAAATGCCTTGCAAACTGTACCAAATAACGGAGTATTTGTCTGTGTTATAAATAGCAAGTGAAACATCCGTGCCTTGTCGCGGACATCGTAATCCCTGTCGTACTTGGCGCAAGAAATGACGTATTCCAACAGCCGAAGGCGTACATCTTCCGGGACTCCTGGTGGAAGACTGGGTGACATGGCTTCGCCCGTACGCGCAGATTCGTTCCAGGCAACCGCTTTTGCCGCCAGGTTGAGGATCTGTAGCTTGACTTCGGCCGCCTCGTTGACAAAGCCGCGTGCCAGCAGACGCAACGCTTCGGTTGCTACCGCTTGCACCTTGTCATAAAACTCCCCAATCAACCAAATCACGCTTGATCTTGCAGCCGGCTCCTGAATGGATTCCCTATCGGATCCCTCACCAGCCAACAGTAGGGCGATAAGCTGCGGCAGTGCCCGCGCCTGCGCGCTCGGGTGTCTCTGCAGCAGCTTTCGCAGCACTCCAATAGCCTCAGTCACGACAGCGGGGCTATTTGCCGATCGCACGATAGAAGAAAGTACTTTAACAATAGCTGGGGTGGACCCTGGATGTGCTGTGGCCAAGCTCCCAATTGCGCGCGCAGATGCAGCGGCCAAGTCCTTGTCGCTTCTAAAAAGATACTCTTTCAGCTCGGCCAAAAGAGCGCGGCGCGCATGCGGCATGGATCCAATGCCACCCGGTTTATCTGCTGCGGCACATATTCTGGTCAGCACTGTCATGCGCAGCACACGGATAGGTGCACTATGCGCCGCGGACACGTACAACTCGGACACATAGGGTAGCAACGCGGGCGGAAAGCGCGTTACGACGGCGGCCGCCATATTCAAGGCGACGGCCTGGCCTCCGTCATCCTCGATATCGACGAGGCGCATGAGCGGCTTGACGGCGTTTGCGCAGAACTCGTCTTTCGTGGCGAGATGGTAAAACATGGCAATGGCTGAGGCGACGACGCCGTTATTCATCGAGTAGAAAAGAGGTAGGACATTGGTCAACAGTAGAGTCAGGTCTGAATTTCTGCTGTGCACGGACCTCTGAGCGTCGGCAGTGGACGCAGAGGGATCGGCGAAGTGGATGCGGGCATAGCGCAACAGCATGTTCATGATGGTGATCTGCCCCCATGGATCAACATCGGCAAGACTGGCACACATGCGTCTATAATGCGGATGGATGAGAGAGAAATTGTAGGGACAAACCTCCTCAAAGGCAGCGATGGCGCTCCCCATAACCTGTGTGGACCGATCGCTGATCAAATCCTGTAGTGGTTCCAACAGAACCTCCTTGGAAGCACTATCCAGGGCGCAGACTTTCCCGATGGCATGGGCGGCAGCCTTGCGCACGTAGGACGAGGAGTCCTTCGCGGCCTTGCTAATGGCCAAAATGACGACTTGCAAAATGACCCTGACCCTTATGGAGGACAGGACGCGAAGCGAAAGCGCGCGAATGTGCTGATTGTGGTCGGACAAGTCCTTCTGAAAGGAGTTGATGGCCAGCAAAGCCAGGTCCTGCTTCTCCTCTGCGTAGTGGACGAGATAGAGATAGACGAGCTTCTTGACGTCCAATGAGGGCGCGACGACATTTTTGACGACGTCGGGGAAGAAGGTGGAGGCGTCTTTCCCAAGGGAGATTAAGGCGACGACCCGCTTCATGGCGTCAAGCTTCTCTTTGACGGAGCGGCTGTCCAGCTGGCGGCGGATGTCTTCCACCCGGACCATGCTCGACTCAAAGTACTGCGCATCGGAGAGAGCGGCGCCAATGCGGGCGGCAGCCGCAGAGGCGGCAGAGGATACGGCGGCCATTAGAACGTTAGTGGTTGTTAGACGTGTTAAACTTGAGAAGCGAAGTGCTTCGGATCGGAAGGCGGGGAAGGGAAGGTAGGGAGGTTTAGGATGGCGAAGCGACACTTGTTCGGGACGCGGGAGCACCGTGCTGTGTAGTATGACAAGAGCGATGCGGTCTGCGAGAAGAGTGCAAGTACTGTACCGCTACAGTACAGTGTACATTACAGAGAGACACTCGTTTGGGCTGACAGTGCGGAGACCGCAGCCCTCGAATGGACTCTTTGAATGGACTCTTTGAATGGACCCAATGAGGGGTCGGTCCACTCTAAGTCGGCTCTGCAGAACGGTACAGTACCGGTACTGTATGGAGTCCATACAGTACCGGTACTGCTATGGACTACTGTATGTAGTGCGTTGATCCACTCCGTCTGACAAATTTCTAAAAAATAACCTTTTCTCCTTGTACTGTAGTACGAGCAGAAAAGGTTATTTTTGGTGCTGCAAAAAACGCAGTACTGTAAGTCACGGACGTCTCATTGGGTCAAGAGGACAATACTGTATGGCTTTCAGTAGATCGCGTGACCTTGCATCATCATCAGCCTCCCCAAAAGGAAACGAGATCATGTAAATGTGAATGGAAGCAATGGCACAGAACCACAACGTCACCATCGAAGTGTCTCCCTGTTTCCAGTCCCCTGAGGGCCTCAATACCCAAACCTTGTTCCCTTGTTCATCGCATGCTGTTTGCATCCAGACGCTTTTTACTGCTTCCATCCTGGGGTTCTGCAATAGACCACACACACCCACGCACGCCAACAATCCACACAAGCAATTTTGATATACTGTAACGACCTCATGTGCATCCTACCGCGTGTCCAAATGACCGCTTATGCTCATATCCGCGCAAATTACATATCGTAACAAGAATCTTCGACTTCAGTGCAGATCGCAGCCCAGTAGCAGCTCGTGGTTTCGTCTTCCTTGAAGTCTCCATGTCCGCCAGCGATCGCGTTACCTTCATCGATAAACCTGCGATAAGAGAAAAAAATACAACGAAACTGGTTAGAAATCGTCCTCGACTACTGTACCTCACCCACCCACAAAGCTCGCTTCAAAAATTCGCAGCACGTACTGAGTCCCGTTAACGCTCGTCCACTCGCCGCACGCGAATCTGTACGGCTCCTCCCCGGCCTGTCGCAAGCCCTTCATGAGGATAGAATGGCCGCGCTCCACGCCGCTCAGGCCGATAGCCGAACCATAGAACACGCCGAACATGTTCTTGAGCAGGAGATCCCTCTCGCTATGCGTGCATATGATGGGGCCGGCGACGTTATTGTTAATGGCGCAAAACTTCTTCGTGTCCGCGAACACTTCGCGCGTGATGGCGCCTTGCACGAAGAAGACGGTGTGGATCTTGTGCGGCAGAGTCTGCGGCTTGTTGAGGATGCCCGCCAGGACGTGGGCGCCGAGCGAGTTGGCCATGAGGCAGACCTTGGTCTTGACGTCGCCGTTGGCGACCATGAGCTTGCCCAAGACCTTCTCCATGACCTTACCAGTGCGCTGGCCGCGGGCCATGAAGCGGCCGAAGGTAAAGTGCTGAAACGGGTTGAGGATGATCTTAGCGACGTTGGACATGGCGCCGAAGAAGCCTGTTTTCTGGACGACGGCCTCCTCCTTGAGGCGGCGGACCTTGGCCTCGAAGTCCTCGTCGTCGTCCGAATCGGAGTCGTTCCTCGAGTCGTCCGCGAGGATCTCGAGCTGGTTGGCGAGGTCCTCATCGTCGGGGTTGTCGTCCTCGATGGCCTTCTTCGCGGCGAACGCGGCCTTGGCAATGTCGGTCTCCTCGCCGGTGGCTTCCTTCTCGGCGGCGGCGAGCAGCTCGGTGCGCGTGAGGGCGTCGTCGGCGCGCACAAACTCGAGGGGCAGGGCCGGCCAGATGAAGGCGACGAAGATGGGGCGGAAGTGGTCGCCGTCGGGCATGGCGGCGTCGTTCTGCATGCCGCCCATGAACTCGGTGAAGGGGACGGCCACGGCCTTGTCGGGCGGGGTGTTCCAGCCGTGCGTCTGGGCGATGATGTGCGTGACGTCGTGGGCCTTGATGTACTCGACGATGGCGTCCGACACCAGGGCGCCCTTGTATTCTAGCTCCTCCGTCTCGGACAGCTGGACTAGGAAGTAGGGGTACTTGGCGGCCTTCTCAGGGTAGTAGGTGTTCTCCTTGAGGATCTCGGCGAGATCGAGCTTGGGCTCGGCGGCGCCGGCTTCGGAACTCTGTTTGCCTCCCATGGTGATACGCGACGCGCGATGGGGTAGGAGGAGGGTGGGGTGGAATGAGGGGCGGTGGGGATGAGGTAATCAAAAAGAAGGGAGGAGGGGGGGAGGGGGGGCAGCGGTGACGACTGATGAGGTGAAACGAAAGGTGAGGCGAGGCGAAGGCGAAGAGAGTGCCTCAGAGCGGGGGTTGAAGTGAGGGCAAGCGGTTGATGTGTTTCTGTGTTGATTTATGAAGATACTGTACACTTCTGTGCGTGGTTGTGTGTGTGTCGGGCCCCAGGCCCGACAGGGGAGATTTGCCCCAGTCGCGCTGAAGACGAGTGCACAGCAAGTTGCGTCCACAATTTTGTGCAGGAGAGTGATTGTGTGCGGGATATGCAAAGCACTCTACCGTTGGAAGTTGAACTTCCAGCTTGGAACTGTACTGTACGTTACCGAAGGCGAGGTCGGGGTTTCAACGTTTAAACAAAAACATACAAGTGCGGTGTGGCAGTGTGGCAGTGTGGCAGTGTGGTGTCAGGAAGGCATGCAATCGGGGCGACGTTCTGCGCTCCCGCGACAGCGCCGCGCTTGCTGCGCCCCCTCGACAGCACCGAGCTCACTGGCGCCGCCTCCCTCCGCTCCCTCCCGACGGCACAGTCCATCGCCGCACCGTGGGCACTGTACTTTTGATCGACAGGTCGTGCAGTACAAGTACTGTATTGTACGGTGCAGCACACCAACCAACAAACAACACAAACAACACCTTCCGCAAAGTCGCTGTAAAGCTTTCTGTACTGGACAGCATACTGTACCCTTGGGAAACATCATGTTACTAACATGTTATAGTAGGTGCAGTTCGGGTCGCGCGACACCGGACAGCGGAAGATGCAGCGCGGGCGATTCTGATGCTTCAGGGCCGTTCCTAACGACGAGCACGGTGTGCGTTAGGAACGGCCCTCATGCTACACAGCACGGTGCTCCCGCGTCCCGAACAAGTGTCGCTTCGCCATCCTAAACCTCCCTACCTTCCCTTCCCCGCCTTCCGATCCGAAGCACTTCGCTTCTCAAGTTTAACACGTCTAACAACCACTAACGTTCTAATGGCCGCCGTATCCTCTGCCGCCTCTGCGGCTGCCGCCCGCATTGGCGCCGCTCTCTCCGATGCGCAGTACTTTGAGTCGAGCATGGTCCGGGTGGAAGACATCCGCCGCCAGCTGGACAGCCGCTCCGTCAAAGAGAAGCTTGACGCCATGAAGCGGGTCGTCGCCTTAATCTCCCTTGGGAAAGACGCCTCCACCTTCTTCCCCGACGTCGTCAAAAATGTCGTCGCGCCCTCATTGGACGTCAAGAAGCTCGTCTATCTCTATCTCGTCCACTACGCAGAGGAGAAGCAGGACCTGGCTTTGCTGGCCATCAACTCCTTTCAGAAGGACTTGTCCGACCACAATCAGCACATTCGCGCGCTTTCGCTTCGCGTCCTGTCCTCCATAAGGGTCAGGGTCATTTTGCAAGTCGTCATTTTGGCCATTAGCAAGTGTGGTATCACAGCCCAGATTTGTAATTTGTACAGCACCCGCCGCCGCGGGTGCCTTACAAGCGCACGACTACACGTGGGCATTACAGGCCGATGGACTACATGTGTGCCTTACAGGCGGACGACTACACGTGGGCATTACAGGCCGATGGACTACATGTGTGCCTTACAGGCGGACGACTACACGTGGGCATTACAGGCCGATGGACTACATGTGTGCCTTACAGGCGGATGACGTACTGTATACAGTACAGCCCGGAGGTTGTATATGACAAGGTACAGTAGTAATGGCATAGTACAGTGCATTGCACAATAGAGTACAGTAGTACCGTAGGATGGACAATGTCCAAGACCCCGCGACCTCGCTTATTTAAGCGACGGCGCCGGGCAATGACAGTAAACAGTCAAGGATCTTTTGGGAACGGATTTCCTTCGACGGTGCGACACCGCGGGTCAAGACAAGCCTCTGACTTAGGCGACATTGTCGGCATCTGTCTTGCGACGTTTCCCTGGCTTCTATTGCCTTTACTTTACCTTTTCCATTCCTCCGTCTTTGTGACTACGCGGGCTAAGACTAGCCTCTAACCTCGGCGTGTTTCTGTCGCTCGACGTTTCAATTGTTTTCATTTTTACTCTGTCGTTGCGACCACGCGGGCTAAGACTGGCCTCGAGCCTGGACATATTACTGTCGCACGACCTATTTCTCTCTCCCTGCATTGTGACGATTGTCAAGTCGCGAGCTACGACAAGCCTCTAGCCTTGGCGGCACTATTGACATCTGTCCCGCTCGTTTCCTCTAGGAGTTTCCGCTACTCGGCGCTCCGCCCGTGTCTGACACTAGTCTTTAGGCTCGGGTTCACCCCTGTTTTGTGTGTTCTTACACCACCCCTTCCAGTGCTGGTCCCATTCCGGGTCCGCACTTCGACCAGTATGTCGTGCTCTTACAGTCGGCTGACGTACTCCCCCTTTGCTCTACCACAGTCCCGATCTACCGCGGGACACCCCTGTAGTATAACGACCGTCGCGCGCGCGGGGAGGTTATTAACCGTGCGGCCGTGCACGGTGTACACGTGGGCGGGTGTGCTCACGTGTAGGGAGCGCGCGCGTTGACCAACCGGCCGTGGCGTGGCGCACGTGTACAGTAGCACACGTGTCGTCCGTGCGGTAGTCTACGCGTGTTACGTGTGCGCGTTAGCACACGTGTCGTCCGTGCGGTAGTCTGTAAGCAACACGCGTGTACAGTAATGCACACGTGTAGTAGCAGCGTCCGTGCGGTAGTAGTAATTATGGCGCTAGCTTTTTAATTGTGTACAGTACCCGGCACGCACTAGGCGACAGGTACTGTACTACTGTATGCTGGGACAGGTGTCCGAGGCGTCCCTCTGAGGGGTTAAGACCTGACACCCGTCCCCACCAGTAAACTGGGGCAAGCTCGCCCCCGTCCCTTTTGCGCCTACATACGTCCGTTTTCGGTTGTCTGTCGCGCGCGCTGGCTTCTAACCCGTTACCGGTCGCTCCCGTTCACGCACCACGGGGCGACTGCGCATAACCGGCCAGTGAGCCACTCCCTTTTCGCGAGCTCGTCCGATCGGTTCAATTGGCGCGTCGCGTCTGCGCCGCGTGCTCCCTCGCTAAAGCCTCCGCCTCTCACCCAACCCAGGGCGGAGAGGAGTTATCCCACATTTGGTACTCTTGTGGAGGGGATAACTCTCGAGGTTGAGCCGCATGCGTGGTCGCTCGATCGCGCGCAGAACCGTACAGACGGAAAAGGTTGAGAAATCACCGCGTCGATCGCGAAGCGTATTCGACGATGAACCGACTGGATCGAGGGGAAGACTCCGCCTCCGGGCGTCTGAGCACCCGCAGTGGCAGTGGCGCACCGCGCCCCCGGGTGGAGAACCCGGAAGCCCTGCTGCGACCGCCACCGCGACCGGGCCGCACGCGAGCGTCCGCATCGGATGTTACGCCGGCCGCATTGGCAGGCACTGAGAATCGCGTCCAATGGATGGTCGACGCGATTCAGCCGCGCATCCAGGCCTGAGTCGAGGAGTTCCTCGCTACGGAACTCCCCCAGATAGCGCGCGTATGCCTCGACCGAACGGTGCCCGCGCTCGTGGACACGCACGTACGCAGCGCGATACCACCGCTTTTGGACGAACTTCTACCGGCTCAAGTCCAATGCGAGGTAGTGACCGCGCTCACCACTGTGGATGAAGAATCCCCGTCCGGCACGGCTCTAAAGGGAGCGATCAGCTCCGCCGTGGCCAATCGTCTGGTCACGACCTTCGCCGGAGCAGAAGTCGACGCACGCGAGCAGCGCGACTCAACCGCTCCGGATCCTACGCTAACGCACGCTGAACCGATCGGCGCCGCACCCGGGATCGGTACAATGGCCCCTCACCCGGAGGGTAAGACCATTTACCTCCCACCAATTTATGGTGCTACAGGAGGGCCCACAGAAAATGGCCCTCCCGTACTCGCCGATACGGCTGGCCCCCGCGGGACAGAAAACCGCCTGGGGCGCTTCGCGACAGAAAAGCGACAGCCGTATCGGTCGAGCAGAAGAAGCGCACCCGGCGCTCAAGGCGACACCTCGGAGGGTACAGAAAACCCCTCCGAGGAAGAAGACACAAGACGTCGCCACAAGGCGACGCGCAAGAACCGCGACGGACGCTACGCGCGATACCGCGATGCCGGAGGGGTCGGTTACCCCTCCGATGATAACCGCGAAGGACGCTATACGCGATACCGCGATACCGGAGGAGGTGGATACCCCTCCGATGACGAGGACACCGAGTCGGACGGATCGCGCAGAGGCGACCGCAGAGGCCGCAATGCGCACGACCGACGTCGGTTCCGGCGAGAAGACTCCGATTTGGAGGGCTACAGTAGCCCCGGCGGAGAGGGAGACCGCCATCGCAGGGGCAGAGACCGCCGGTCTGCCCCGAGGCGGGATCCGAAACGGTTGCCGGTGATCAGACCGCTGAACGACCTGTTCACCAAGGCCGTCGACTACCGCACGTATAGGCTGGAAAATCGCAGCGCGCGCTACGACGCGAGTACCGCGCGGCGAGTTAACCGATATCGGAAGAAGTTGGACGTCCAGCTGAAAACCCACACATTCGGTGGTCAAGATCCAATCGCGGTGCTAGGATTTCTCGCGCGCTTCAAGATGGCCTGCGACCACAATGGGGTCAGCGAAGGCGCGGCCGTATGGTGTTTCCAGTTCTATGTGACTGGGCAGGCTCACGCCTTGCTCCATTCCAGGCTACACGGGAACACCATGGCGGTCGATGCGGAGCAGCGCGATATGCTCGAAACCTACGCGGAAGTTGTTAACTTTTTATTGCGCACGTACGCGACTGACAAATTTATTTCCAAAGCGGTCGGTGATGTCACCTCCTTCCGTCAGAGCTCTAATATGACGGAGGAGGTGTACAGTAACCAGTTGTGGGACAAGGCGTTGCGCTGCGGAACCGTATTTTCAGACAGGCGCTTGAAGTCCCTTTTCGTTTAGGGACTTCTGCCAGCGACGTGCACGCAGGTGCGGAACTATCTCGCGACGCATCCGGGCGTGGACTACCAAGCGGTGGCACGCTACGCGCAAGCGATAGGCGAAACGCACCGCTCGGCTCGAAGACAGGCGACCTCGCTCGCGTCGCCTCAAGCACCGCCCGATTCGGTGAGAAGGTTCACGCGCAACGCGCGGACAAGGCCCGTGCTGTCGGTCGAGTCCCTGTCTGAACTCCCGACAGCGCGCAGAACCGAAACGGAGGAGATACTGGCGGTGACGGACCAGTCGGCGACGCCGAGCTTGCTTAGCTGGCCGCCGACTAGCTACCATCCGTCACCTGCCTCGTCCCCGGCGGGCGCACCGATGGCGCCCGCCCAACAAGGTGACGCGCGCACATATCCGTACGGAAGGCCAGTACAGAACCAGCGGGTCCGGTTCTTCAATCAAGGATTACCTGGACCCCCGCCGTGTCGGTTCCGTCTGGACCTGACCCACCGACAGGAGCAATGTCCTGTGGTGGCGGACAGCGCGCTGCGTTCGAAGCTTTTGCAGGCCCGCGAGGCCAATTACCAAAAGCTTCGGATCCGTCAAGGTCTCCGCCCGGGTTCGCCGTTCGAGCGCCAACCGCCGACCGCGTGGCGAAATTCGCGTGCGCAGGCTCCCACGAGCATCAACGTGGTCGAGCCGCGCGAGACCGTCCAATCGGAAGAACCCGCGTTACCGCTGACGGACGAGGGGCCCGAGGACCTTGGGTTGACGGGGGAAGCCGGGGAAGACGCGTAGAGGCGTCGACGATCCTCCCCGTGCCAAGCCTCAATAAACAAGGCACCCCGTCGACCGCTTCGGTACGCGCGCAATCGCAGAGCGGAACGGACGAAGCGGCAATTTGCTTCTTCAAGAAGCAAAATTACAAGGTCACCGCAACGGTCGGACAACGACGCGCGATGATGCGCGCCATCACGCCGGTTCTAGATTCGGGCGCCGGCCCGAATCTAATCCACCTACGGTGTGTGGCAGAACCGTGGCGCGCTGCCATCCAGTCCGCGCGGAGCCCGCCGCTCATCGACGCTTCAAATAGGTCGATGAAGGCCCTCGGCGAGCTCAAGCTGTACGTCCGGATTGGTGAGTTCGTCGCGCGCGTACCGTTCTTGGTCGTCACCAACCTCGCGGTGGACTGTATCCTCGGAACCACGTTCCTGGATCGCCACGTGAAGGCGATCCTGCCACCGCAGAGGAAGGTGCTGTTCCATCATGCGCCGTCCGTAGCGCTGACGGGAGTCACACCCTCGAGGCACGACCGCAAGATGGCCTCGAGGGGACCGTCGCAGCAGCTCCCGCAGGAGGAAAATTCGGCCGACCGGAAGCGCGCGCAGTTCCCGACGAACGTACCGTCACGGAAAATTCGCGTGGTCAAGGGGGTGACGATACCCCCGATGACCCAAGCGATGGTTCGCGTCGCAACACCGGTTGGGGGGCTTTGCTTCCTGCAAAACCACCCCAAAACGGCGCATAAGAATTTATGCCTGATGGCCCAGGGGGTCATGGACCTCCTCCCGGGCGAGCCGTTTACGGTGCTCGTTAGCAACTTCGGAAGCCACGCGGCCCACATCCCCAAGCATACCGTTGTTGGTCTCGCGTTGCCTTCCCCCACACACATCCTGACACTTGGCGTGCCGGTCCCCGGGGAGGCCGACGCTAAGGAAGGGGGAGGGAACAAAAAT